TAATTTGTAAAATTACTCTAAGGCGCTTTACAACATATGGATAATAGTAATGGTTATAATTGTGAAAACAAACAACAAAGGCTTGCAATCACTTTCATACATTTAACAAGCAATGTGCACATAATTGAACAAATAAAAGGGTGGTATTTACATGACGTCTTTGCAAAGATTCTAAAATGCAGACGTGAAGAGGTGAGTTTTTATGTCCCTCTTGAACTTGGCCAGGGTATTCGACTTCCTAATAGCAGATGGTAAGCTATTCCACAACGTAGCCGAAACCCTCCCAAAGCATCTGTTTCCGTAGGTCACAGTACGAGATTTTGGGACACACAACAAAGATTCTGACTCCGACCGCAGTGATCTTGACGGCTGATACAGGGTAACAAGTTCCTGTAGGTACTGAGGAGCTGTTCCATATGGTTATACGGTGGGGATTTCAACCATTTCCAAGTGCTAAACTTATTTTGGCCCCACCCCTTAGTGCGGGGGGACAGACCCACCATTTGTACAATTTTGAATCCCTGCCTCCCATGAATGCTTCCAGTCAAATATGGTTGATATCCATCTCTTGGCTCCAGAGAAGAAGTCGCTGAAAGCAATATAGCCAAATTGACCCCTTTTTGCCCCGCCCTTCAGCCCCCTGGTGGGTCAGCCCCACCATTTGTACAATTTTGAATCCCCACCATCTAGGGATGCTTCCAGTCAAATTTAGTTAAATTCCAATCGGTGGTTAAGAAGAAGAAGTCGTTTAAAGAAATTGTTGATGGACGACGGACGCCACGGTATGGCATAAAATTGTTAATAAATATTGATAGGGTTAATTAATACCTATCAAACAGCCAAAAGTAATGTCCTATTATACCTGCCAAACAGTTTAGACATATGTCATATATTGTAAATCAGTTTGTACTAATGTCATATTACCTGTCACACAGTTTGTACTAATGTCATAATACCTGTCAAACAGTTTGTACTTATGTCATAATACCTGTCAAACAGTTTGTACTTATGTCATAATACCTGTCAAACAGTTTGTACTAATGTCATAATACCT